GTACCTACGATCGAACAACCGAAGCTTGACTTTTGGAAATCTGGAAACTTGCGTGATTGTCTGGCATAGTGCCGTACTTAATTGGTATACTAAAACGTTTAGAAGAAAATCTAAATTAATTTATCTATCCTATTAGGAATAAGTCTAACGTTTTGTTCGAGTCACGTACGATTCGTAAAATTTGTCATCGAATTTTCTTAGCGATCAAATAAATTATTTTTCAAATTGTATGGGGTTCGATAAAAACAAAAAATAAAAATTAATACAAATTTATAAATCGAATTTTTCTTTTTTTTTAATCGTATCTATTTAAATAAGAAATTAAAAATAAAATATCTGGATATAGGATTGAGGTCAATGAGAGATATTGGTTTGATATAAGTTGAATCATGGTCAAGATTTACGATCCAAAACAAGTGAGAGATAGTTGTAATAGAAATATCAGTAACTGCCTGATGCGTGTAATATAATCGGTAATAAATTCATATTTTCGTTGGTATATAGGACAAGAAAGCACGAGCAACAAATCGTAAAGTATAAGAATAAGTTCAGAATGACCAGAGGGCGTGAATTTGTCGATAGTGAACAAGGTGTCCGGCAGAAAAACAGACAATGTCACCCAATTATCGAACGATTGTCCCACAGTCCCAACTGTCAATGCTGGTCAAGTGTTGTCCGATCGGGGGAGTGACTGACCATCCTTCCAATCTAACTTTTACACCCTCCAAAACCTAAGTATTCTTGACAACAAGATAAATATATACTAGATATCCTGTAACCATAGATTATATTTGTTAAGATTTTCCTATCACTATGACTGTATAGGTTTGATTGATTATAAAATGTTTTAATTGTAAAATGTATCTTTGAAGAAATTAATCAATGCAAGTATTTAAGAATAAGAAGTAAAGTTATATCAACGATTGTCAAATTATTATTCTAGATGATACAAAGTATATTGAATGAGTTTATCGATGATTTTTATTCATGATACAATATTTAAAGAAATATTGATTAAATTATACTCGTGAATACAAAATTTTGTTTCATCGTTTTATTTCAAAAAGTAAAACAATTGATAAATACATCGACGCGATTTTTATGAAATCTACTCGACGTGACAAGTAAAACGATATGAACGATATCGAATAGTAGTATATATACATTTGTCGGAAGTGTCCACCCTCCAATCGACTGTTTTTGCAAGTAGAATAGAATATATATATATATATATCTTCAGAATTCATTTTCCTATACCGCAATACGTAATTTTATGCATGTTTGCTTTACGAATGAGGGTGGGGGATATATATATATATATGTAGCTAAGAGCTATAGAAACTCCTGTATGTATATCGTGCAAGAAAAAAAGATTCTCTATCGATTGTTTGTTCAGAATATGGACTGACCAGTTGACCAACAACAACAAAAAACTGCACTCAACTTTACCGTCTTCGTATGAATACTTGCAAATGTATATATATATATATATATAACATTTCAATTAATATTATTAGAAAAATATTTATTTAAGATATTATTACGAATTCAAGGAAATTATTTTTATACGAAAAAGAGAGAAAAATAAATTTATAAATTTACAACAAATGTATGTTATTTGTTTTTTGGGTCAGGGGTAGAAAATGGGGGAAGAGAGGGAGACGTATTTTTCTGTCTCTGTTACTCTTCTTATATCGAGCTAGGATTTAATAAGTACCATTCATCGAGATATGTCTTTGGCTTACTTAAAACTTCACGTTGCTCTTTTTGTCTCGAATGATACACATACTTAAGCACACACGCGCGCGCGCGCGTGAGAGAGAGAGAAAAAGAGTACACACAAAACGCGAGGAACACTTCGATTTGTGCCACGTGACTTCACGTGCAGAAGTCGCGTGCAGACCGGAAGCAAGAGCCGGATACTTTAGCCTGCCTCACGGTTCCGAGACACGGAACGATATAAGTCATCGATATTGTGACCTGCACAAATTTTAATGCTCCCGTGACTCACTTCAAACGATAGATTTTTTCTTTGTAATTTTTTATTATTATTATTACTTTTTTTCTTCTAAAAAAAAAACCAATTAAAAATATTAACACAAAAAAGACAGTAGCGGAAGGGGGTAGGGGATAAAAATGGCTGACAGATCTTATTTTCCTATTTTTATCTAAGAAAAATATTATAATTTTTGTACTACGAATATATTAATTTTTAACAGTGATAACAAACATCGATGATGATCAAAGAAATATTTGTTTCTTTTTTTTTCGATAAAAATATTTTTAACAAAAAAATAATTGATCATTATTTTTGTTTGTGTGTATTATTTTTATATATGTATATATAAAATAAATATGTTATTAAAATAATTTAGAACGGTATTAATATTAACTCTCATGTCAGTAATGGCGGGATAAAGATCGGTGACGATAGTATTACCCGTGGGAATTCTGTACCCTTTAATAATAAGAGGGTAAACCTCGTAAAGGGGTGCAAAGGGATACTACATAATACGAAGAATACGAAAGAAGAATGGAAAGGGAAAAATAAAAAGAAAAAAAATGAAAAAGAATAAGAATAAGTAGAATAAGAAGAATAAGAAGAAGAAGTACCCAAAAAAGGTAACCAGAATCTGGACCACACGTAGCGACGAATAATGGTTGATCACGAGTCGTTCAAAAATAGTCGCGTGCCATCGCGTGATCCACATTTCTTTCTTGTTTTTTTTTTTGCTTTTTTTTTTCAATCTTTCTTATTTCTCTTTCAAAGAAACGCGTGGCTTATTTGACTAATTTTGCTTAATTCTAATTTTGATTTAAGCCCGTTCGAAGATTAAAACAATTAAACACACACACACACATTCATTTTTAATATAACTAATAATAAATAATATTATAATATTGATTACGAATTTTAATATTACAACATTAGATCGTAATTTCAACAATTTAGATCAAAAAAAATCAATAACTGTTTTAATAATGATTATATTAAACATTGCTAAATGACAAAAAATTGTTCTTAATGTTAAATAATCTTATGTTTTGTTTTACGTATCAACGTGTTCTTGTACGAATAAATCAAACGTAATTTTTTTATTTCTAAGTTGAAATTTTCGTAACAAATTCGGCACGTTTGAAGTCAACCACGTAAATGATTGGGATATTTATAGAAAAAAAAATTAAAAAAAAACAATTGTTTAAATTAATGAGCAAACGTTTTTACTTACAATGACGTAGTAGATGATCGACAAACGTTTTATAATCACAACCGGTCGATCGTTACTGAAAAGTTAACAATACGATTAGTCAGCTTGGTTCCCAGGCACACGGTGGTAGCTAGCAATAATCGTGCGAGCGCGTGCTGCATACGATTCCTGTGTGAACTTTATCGTGATCGCACCCTCCCCACGGTTCACGATCACCTACTCTTCTCAAATCTCCCTCCTTTAACCCCCCTACATCCCACACCCCACCCTCACCCTCGCCCTCACCCCGTTATTAACGCGTTACGATGTCCAGTACTTTGCGATAGGTCGGTTGTCCGTGTATTTACATGTGTGTCTGTGTATGTATATGTGCGTGGATACTCGTCAATCCAAGACCCCAGAACTAGCTTTCGACGCGTGTATGCACGCGTCTAACTTGAAAGAAGGGTGAAGAGGAGGACAGGCAGGCGGAGGTGGCCAGTGGGTGTGGGAGAGAGTGAGACCAATCTAGGGTGCCCGTCCAAGTGATTTCATGGTGGCGCACGTATCAATTTAAGGGATCGACGAAGGGATAACTACTAAGATTCTCGACTTATCGCCTAGTGATATTTTGTCGTTACTTAAACTTAACAAATCTTTATCTTTAACATTAACTCGTTAATATGTCGAATAATAGAAATTATCTATAAATAATACATTTATTTTTTTATTTATATATTAGGAATATCAATAAATTCGCGTATGTATGTGTGTGTGTGTGTGTGCTTTATTTTTTCTAAACAAATAATATAGGAAGAAATCTCACGAACTTATCTGGTCAATTTAATATTTCTAAATTGGTAAGAACTATTTTTATGGGCAACCCAATAAATTTGTTAGACGAATATGTGTAAAATAATAATAGATAAGAGTCTCTAATCGAATGTAATAAGATAAAAGATAAGAAAAGACGACTCCTGAATAAAGAAAGGAAAAAATAGGATAGGTGGAATGGAGTGGGTAGGAGAGGGGGTATTTTTGATAGGAAAAAAGTGTGCACACCGCGAGTAGAGGAAGCGCCACAGGCGTTCCCACGAAAATCGCCCCTTCCTGATCTCTCAGCTAGTTCTCCCTACCCCCCTTCTCTCCCCTACTCTACCGAATGTTCATGTAAAAGTCCCTACTTCTTGTTTTCTCTCTTTCCTCTTCCCTGCTATAAGTCTCGCCTTTGATCCATGGGGTCCCAGCTAAAGCTTTCACCTTGGAGGAAGAGAAGAAACCCATAGGTCCCCCCACTCCAAAAATATATATAACAGGAGTTCCCCCACTACTGGGCTTGAAACGGGGCACGCGGCTCGTGTGCCGTCCCTGGGTCCTCCCGCACACGACATACGTCCGCCGCCACGCGACTGATACACACGCGTGCGGGAGCTGGCTAGTACCGGACAGTGTAACAGCAGCAGCATCAGCACCATCAGGAGAAGTAACACAACCGGCAATACGCATATTGTACTACTATAACCTTCTATATTCCTTCGCGACAACGGGAATACAGTGCATCCGCGAAGAAGTTCCTCGCGGTCGCCACCAACTTAACACCCAAATCCTGACACGCGACCTCAGGAAGCTGTGCCACGTGTGAACCTTACGATCAAACAAGTGCAGAAGATTTTTTTCATTTTTTATCGTTGTTAATCGTTTGCAACCTTGTTTTGTACAATTTTCATCGTTTTAACCCTTTTTATTTTTAATTTTTGATTAGTGACATTTTATAAGTGTGATCTTGTCGATATAATGATCGAAATAAATCTAAACACGGTGTATTATTACGGTGGTGAATTATTAAATAATTAAATAATTAAATTATAAATAATTAAATTCTACGTTTGATTCACAGAAACGATTGATTATTAAGGACAATATTTAACGATCGGTGGCACCCTTTGCTTGGTACTGCAATGCGACTGGTATGACACTTGATCCATTTAACAGAAGCATCGTTATGGGATCGATATTTTATACTAGATAACACCTACCAGCTTGGAAAAGTTAACTTTTCTGATAATCGTGGAGACACTTCACTGCCACTTATACAAATTTAACTTTTAACGGAACAACTGCCAGCTCTAAGTCTTCCAATTTTCTATAGACGTTTTCTCGTTTCTTGATTATTCTTCGATATAAATTTATCGTAAATAATTGTTTTTAAAAAAAGAAAAAAAACACAAAAATCGTGAGAAAATGTGGCGAGTAGTAGTAGCATGCTCAGACGAGAACAGTACGCTCTTGTCATCGGACATTACTTCTGGTGCAGTAGGGCCAACACATTTACCGTCCGGTCATCATTGGGGTTATCCACCACCACCTCATCACCATTACCAACCGCAACATCCCGACATGCGTCATCATCACGATATGAGACCACCACCTCCTGACCTTCGTCATGCACCACCACCACCGCCACCACCGCCACCACCACCTTCTAACATTAACGATATCAGGAATCACGAAATGCAAAGACCCGATCTTAGGCATCAAGAGATGCAAAGACATCAGGAAGCACAAAGACATCAGGATATGCACAGATCGGAAATTGTCAGACATCAGGATATTCGACACAATGATGTCAGGCATCAGGACATGTCTGGTATGAGACCTGATATTACAGAAATGAGATCTAATCACGAATATTCCGATATGAAAATGGATGAAATGAGATCCCAAGATGCTAATCAACAACAGCAGCAACAGCAACAACAGCAACAACAAAATCAAGCTCATCAACAAAGGAATCTCAAAAGAGCTATGAGCGATTCGGATTGTGATGACGTGTTTTCCGAAGAAAGTGGTAAAGAACCGTAAGTATATATTTCTATTTCAATGCAGTAATATTATAGGAATAACCTTGACTTTAGAAAATGACTGTTCGATCGATGCACGTAATACATACGTACAACTATAAACGGCTATAATTGGTCGCTATTTTCCATATATCCTATATATTTATATATATTATACATCATTTAACTTACGAAGAATTTGAAACATAATCGATAAAATAGTTTAATTGATTTTCTAAACAATGGGGATAAAGAAAAAGAATCAACCAAAATTCATTTCACTCAAAAAACGATCAAGGATTTGTATACATGTATATATATATTTCTTTGTTTGTTTTTTCGTTCGTTCGTTTTAGATGCAATTCACCCGGAGGTGATTCCTGTCAGCACGCATCACGAAAACGGAGGAGAGGAATGATAGAGAAGAAACGTCGCGACAGAATAAACGCATCCCTCGGAGAACTGCGAAGATTGGTGCCTGCAGCAGCTCGAGACCCTCACAGTGCGAAATTGGAAAAGGCTGAAATACTTCAGCTTACCGTTGAACATTTGCGTACTCTTAGAAACAAGGGTAAGTTTATATATATATATATATGTATATATACACAACTTTTAGAAATAACTCTAACCTTTCCTGACTAATCCTTCAAAATATGTAATAGTAAGCCTAGCACATACACACACACACACAAATAATAACACTTGCCTCGAATATAAACGGTAAGGCTAACGGTTATCTGAAAACTATCAAAATCCGTTTGAAAATAGGATATACATGTGTATACGTAATAATGGATCTAACTGTTATTTCAAATAACGGAACTGTTGAAGTTGAGCGCAAGTTCTTCCATTTCCTTTTCTCAGTTTTTTGATTCACAGCTTGTCCTCAACCCTTTTTTCGGAGATATTGCACCCGGGTTTCCTTTAACAGTACATTCCAAAAAAAAAAAGCAACGAACAAAAGGTGCTACGTAATGATAATGATGATAATGATGTTCAACATAAAAAAATGATTATGCTACTTTTTTTTTTTATTTTCAAAGTCAATCAATACTTTAATCTAGATAACAATTCTCGTTTTATCTCGTGTCGCTTAACTAAGCGTATACTTTATTACAAACGTATTCGCGGTTGATCGGACATAATCGATCAATTGAAGTTTTAAAAGAGTTACTTTCAAAGTCAAGGACGATGCAAATCTCAACCTGCATTCTGTTGCAGTAGTATATTATCGTATTTTCTTTCGTATCCAATCACTTCCTCCTGTTTCTCTCTCTTTCTGTTTCTTTTTACAGCCGTCATTTGCCGATTCTTTTTAAACCGGAAGACACCTGTTGACCGCGCTCTGAGAAACGGTAATTCCATAACCGAATGACCATCTGTCGTTTCGTATAGATTTTCCTCGTTAAAATGTATTCAAACGTTTAAAACAAAACAAAACAAAAAGAAAAAAAATTAAACTCGATGTTGCATTAATTAAAATACTTTTTGTTTCTCGTACGTGCGAATAATATTAAATCATTAACCCGTATACGAGGGAACAACACAATTTATAAAACAAAACGAAAAATATACTCCTTGGAAATGCAATACTCCATAAAAAAAATAAATAAAAAAATAAAAAGAAAAAAAGAGGAAGAGAGAAATAGCTAACTGTAAACATACGGCGGATTCAATAAAGTTTATATTTATAATAACGTCGATAAAAAAAAAAATAAAAAAAGAAATCAAACGATCGGGTGACAAATTTCGAGGAAAGAATCGTTCGACCGTGAATGACTATTTTAACCTAAGTAAATAAATAAATAAATAAATAAATAAATATAATTAGAATAAAATTTATTTAAAAAATCAATTGATCAGAACGTTTGGTACTTAAAAAAAAGATATTCTTTTTTATTATTGTATTTTTCAATATCCATATATATATATCGATTTATCGAACGTATAGAAAGAAACAAAACAAAACAAAAAATAGATCGTAAGATTCGAGGCAGGTTTTGCGATATTTCTTAAACAAATCCATGAATCCTTCCAAATCCTTGTCATGAATCCCTCCTCCGAAGCAACAGCAATAACAGCAGCAGCAGCAGCAGCAGCAGTAGCAGGTGCTGAATCCAACTGGAAGATCCTGTGGGAAGCACAGGAAGTCAACGACTCTTCCTCGATGGCGTTCCCACGATTGGTGGCGGTACGATAAAGAGAGAAAGAAAAAGAGAGAAAGAGAAAAGAAGTGAGAATGTGTTAGCGTATACGTGTAGGGTGGGCTCGTACTAGCACCCCTCATGAAGAAGGCGCTGAGTTGCCAGCAGCGGACCGGGGCAGATGTCGAACTCTGTGGGAAACCAGCTACCGAGTTCTACACAAACTCACACATTTACTCACAATTTTTCTTTTGCAATTTGTGAACAATCTTGAGAATATATTTCTATCTTCTATTCTTCTAGGTATTTGTCAATCTATAAAATAATGTTTTTTGTCTTTTTTTTCGCAAAATTTCTTGCTATGTTATATATTAATAATAATTATATTATTAAGGTGAAACAATTAAACGTTATTACATGCATGATACAAATAATTATTATAATTATATAAAAAATTAAATATTTTAAATAATAATATAATCATTTAATTTTTAATATATTAAAAAATATATTCATTTAATTTTATTGCAAATATAAGTACGGTCCTATGTGTTTCTATAAAAGGAATAAGATTCCTATAGAAATAGTAACTATCTAACACACTAATAGAACTTACAACGTCGTGGGACAGAAGCTAGTATTTCGAATTGGCGTGCAAGCTCTTTGCATGTGGCTCCTCAGGTCTATGGGGGTCTAAACGGTTCCCACGCTACCTGTCCCATTGCCCCCACCCTATTACGATACAATACCCCTCCGACTGGCAAAGCCAAGGCTTTTAGTACATCTGAACACTCTCTTTCTCTAATACACTCGTTCAGTAAGAAGGCATTGTGATGTTCTGACACGAAAACTTCTACGCATCTTAGCTTACAATAATAATAAACCTATCGCAAAATTTCCCTTTTTTCTCTTCTATTCTCTTTTTATACACACACACATACACATACATATATATACACATGTACATATATCTTACAAATCATTGATCATTGATCATTATTCTGTCTCAGGACCTGACGGATACGACAGTACAAAGTTAGCTATGGATTATCATGCTGTTGGTTGGAGTGAATGTGCCGCTGAAGTTGGTCGTTATCTCGTAACTATGGAAGGTTTAGATGAAAGGGATCCATTAAGGTTACGACTCCTTTCACATCTTCAAAGTTTTCATCGAGAACATCCTGCCGGGCCGCCACCTTCAACTGGTGTTCCTGGTCCTGCTGTACCTTCGGCAACAACATTAACATCAACCTCATCAGCCAGCAACTATGAACCACCTAGCAGTGTACCCACTGGTATGCCACCAGGAACTGGTACTATGCCACCACTTATTGGTGGTGGTGCATTAGGTTGGAGCCAATATCCTACGCAATACGCACAACAACAAGGCAAACCTTACAGACCATGGGGTGCTGAACTTGCTTATTGAGGATATGATTATTTAGGAGAAACTATATCTTTTGATATTAATTTATAATTTATACATTTTTTTTTCTTTATAGGTTAGGCTCATTTGTTCATTTGTTAACACATTCGCGACCGCTGACGTGAATTCACGTCTTTTCAAGTTCTATTCCTAGTTGCCGCTGACGTGATTCAAGTCATTTTAAATTTTCAAAATTTAATAAAAATAAATTTATATATATATATAAAATTTATATTTATATATTTATATTAATTTTATAATATAAATATATAATATTTAATTTTTAATATATAATATTAATTTAAATATATAATATTTAATATTTAAATATTTATATAAATATATAAATATTTTATATATTAAATTTATATTTAATTATTTCAATATAATATTTAAATAATTACATTTTATTATATTATTATATTTTATTATTTTAATATAGATTTAAATAATTCATTATTTTTTCCGGTACTCATTATTAAAAAAGGAAAAGATGTGCCGGCCGTGAATGTGTTAAGAAGATCTTGATGAGCCAATTTATTAGTTTCTTGTAAATAAGTCATAGTTGTGGTATATTTTGTACAAAAACGATCTCAAAATGTATCTCAGGAATTTGATAAAGATGACAAAATGTTAGGATTGTACGCATAATACGTCCTACAAGTGATATGATGATAGTCATAAATTTAGAAATATTATATATTATATCATATTATATATATATATATATATATATATATATATATATTATATTATTTATACAAATTGCCAAAAAAAAAAGAAAAAAAATTAAACGAACAAAAACAAAATAATAGTAATAACAATAATAATAATAAAAATATTATTAATATTTATACGATAGAATGACAATCTTGTACAGTGTAAATAATTGTATATTTATAAGTTTTTCGTTTCGTTTTTTTTTTTTTTTTTAATAATAATAACATTTGCAATGGATTTGAATCTCTTATCGATAGTTGTACGCAGTGTGAATTTTTTAATAATACGTTTTTTTCTTCTTGTTATAAAATTACATTCCTAAAAAACTTATGCTAAATTATGAAAAAAAAAAAAAAAAAATAAGTGCCATTGTACGATCAGTCGATTTTCAAACGCGTATATAAGAGAGACAACGATATTTTTGCAATACGCATATGAATTTTTTAAAATAAAGAAACAAATGCGAAAAGAAAACGATGACTCCGTGTGGGGGAGAGTGTTTCTTTCAATGTTTCTCTTCAATGTTTTATTTTTCGTTCTTCTTTCTTTCATCTTTCCATCTTTGTATCCTTTAATATTAATTTTTACAAAGGTAGTGTAAAAAAAATTGTACGAAGCTTATGGCTAAATTTTTACAGACAGTGTATAGTCCTCTTTTCTTATGCAAACATTCTATTCACAGCTTGCCCACACACAAATCCATAAAATACTCTTATACATGTACACGTACATACACAACACACACATCTCCATTTTATGTATGAGTCCAAAGAACAGAAGAACTCTTGACACCCTCCCTTAGGCTTCCTTCTTTATACGCGAACCAGTTTTACTACGTCTTTCTCTTTCTCTCTCTCTCGTCTCTCGTTAGTTTAGTTCTCGCAACGTAAAATATATGTGAAATATTTTTAAACAAAAAAAAAAAATGAAAAAAACCAAGGAATATAATTACTACTAGAAATTGCATTGAACCTAACACCACCACCACCACCATCACCACCACCCCCTGGTGATTCTTCTCGCGCGAAAGCAATTTTCGAGAATCAGGAATATCGACTAACGACACGTGCCTATTGTTCATATGAAGCTTTAACAAATTTAAGAAGGCTCGTTACCCTCCCACAGTTTTTCTATCCTCAAAGGATTGCATCCCAGACCACTACGAGTAATTGCTAAAGCGTACACGTGTTGAAACCATTATCATCGTTTCCCTTTAGTTCTTTTTCTTCGTTTTTTTTTGCTTTTTTACTTTTTTTTTCTTTTGCAAAACGTTGGAGAGTAGTAATACTGTTTTTTTTTATTTTTTTATTATTTTTTTTTTAAGGAACATTTTAGGAGCGAAATTTTATTTATGAAAGAAAACGATCAATAAATCCGATTTATTGATTAAAATTATTTCTTTTTTTTCTTTTTATTATTATTATTATTAATTTCTATCGGATTTATACAGTGTATCTGGAATATAATAATCATTGTCAAAGGAAATCGGAATTAAACTGATGATATAAAAATAAATTCTTTTTTTTAAATAATTTACACTTCGAACGAAGTAACTGGTTCTAAATATAAATCGTTTAATTCGAAAAATGAAATAATTCCAATAGGCCAAATAATGATTTTAACGATTTTACGATAAAAATAAATTTTTAACGAAATATATGCTGACCTAAATTAAAAGCGACTATTTAAAAAATAATGTAATTTGTCGAAAAGAATAAAAGAAAAAAAATATACTATAACAATTTGCATGATATGAAACGGAATTACGTTAAAAATAATACTCGACCAAATTGTATGTCACGGATCGATGAAACCATTCCAGAAAGGGTAATTTAGAAACGGGAAAAATAACTTTTCAAATAAAACAAAAAGGAAAAAAAAAGAAAAAAACAGAAAGAAAGAAAAGGAACAAGAGATATTTATCTATAAAATAACATTTGTCTCAAATGGCACGAACAAATAAAAAAAAACTTATCCAACTACTATAGTATAGTAAACTATTGCAAGAAAACTAGGAAAGTTCATGCATATTTGAAAACACGCTAGACGAACAAAAGGAAAGGAATACACTTATACACACGTATATATATATTTATATGTATACATATATACAATAGTCAAGAAGGTGTAAAATTTACACAATGTAAAATTCTGACTTCAGTGATCGCATTTTATTTAATGACGCTGGTGTCCATTACAAAATCGCAGCCTTATCAACGTCTATTCTTACATCTTTCACACATTCAAAAAATACACACTTATTCCAAATACGTTCACATTTAAATATTACATTACATATATGATAAATAGATATATATGTATATTTTTTTATTATATATATCGATTTTAGATTGCAATATTCGACATAAAAATCTTCATTAATCTAAACAAATATATTTTCGTTATTATCAATATTCTTCTTAGTTTTTTAAATAAATTTATTTACTATTGTTAATTGTAGGAAAAAAAATATGTACATACTATATATATGGGGCATAACACGTCAAATCAAGCATTTTTGGACCCTGACCAATTTCGATTTTGATGAAACTTTTTTATCATTTATAAATTAATTGTTCCAAACATCTGAAACTCTGTAGACTTTATTCTTTTAACAGTAGCTATAACTGAGAATTTTTACAGATTTTTGGCTAATATAATTCTGGAATTGCAGCTAGATGAAACATTAGGTTGCTAAATTTTTTCATTAACCCGTTTTCTGATCAAGTTTTGTACCGATGATTTTTCGAATACCCTACATTTTATTCTCGTATTTTAGAAACAAGCAAAATAAAATCACATCCTTTTGAGAAGCCTGTCATAAATATTATAAAAATAAAAATAATAAAGAAGATCCATTAAAGTATAAATTCTAAAACAGATGTGTAAATAAATTAAACATTTTATTAACTAACATATTTAAAATCTTTTGTAAACCTGTGCAAATATTCAATGTTATATTTACTATGGACTTTAAAATATATATATTTCATATTTAGTGTTGATACGTGTGCCTTCAGAAATGCATTTATACATAGATTATAAAAAGCAGGAGGAGAATCAAAAAGGTTTGTTGTTAAATCTAACGAAGATCACCTGTAACAAAAAGAAAACTGTATTAATCATACAATCAATTTATGCAATAGCCTGACATATAAATCGTCCAATTCGCAGATGCACTTTTCAATTTAATTCTCTATTCACTTTTATCAAATATTTATTTACCGTTGCAAGGAAATTAAATTTAAACGCGTGATTTTACATTTACAAAAAGTAAAAAAAAAAATAAAAAAGTAAAAGTAAAAATATTAATTTACTAAAGAAAATAATATCCATTAATTATTAAGACTAATACTTTTAAACTGCATTATATAGAAAAGAAAAAATTAAAAATTTAATAACATACGATAGCAGTGAAAAAATCTTAAAGACGAAACAAGAAAAGAGAGATTACTTTAATATTAAAAAACGATAATTAGACTTCAAAATGTAATAATAAGGGAATTTAAATTTTTTGACTCTAACTAACTAAACACATATGCATCTTTTTGACGATATAGACACAAATTTGGTGTTCCAAGGAGATGGAATAGTCCATCATCTCCAATTACAACTAAAAATTAATGACGAGCAAAAAAAAAAAATACAATAAAATATAAAATATGACTAAAGAGCCATTCTCTAAAGGTTCGAACTTGCTGTTAAACCTTTGAAAATAACTCAATAGCCTGTAGTTGCCCTCTTGAGCCACAATTAAGTGGGGGCCTCTTCGGCATTAAGCCTCTTCTTTCTTCATTCCTTGAGAACTGCATTTGGACATTTTCTACGTGTAAGCAAGGTAAGATCTTTCATACTACTTTTACAAATTAGCTCATATTTTATTACGATTCTAATTCTCAATTATTAAAAAGTTAATTTACTATTTCCGTTTATTTTTCTAATTCGTGGACCTTCAATGAACTTAAAATTCATTGATCATRCACGAGYACATTTAATTRAATGTCCAAGCAGATAATAATTTCCCTCGATGACCTAATAACACTTCGCACCTTTAACGTCAAGTAATAAAATCGAATTGAAATAAATAGTACAATAAATGTATTGCATTTTCTTGCAATACCTTCATTTCATTAATTCGTTATTAATTTATTCGTTAATTATATCAAATATTTCTAGCTGTAAGACAAAATCGCGATAGTGCGTAGTGCTAATCCTGAAGTACTTAAAACTAAGTATCAAATGCATCAAAGAATTTGCGAATTTGATTCGACTCTATCTCGTTTGAGATAAAATCGAAGTAGAAATGAATCTTTCAAATRRTTRCAAATAYCTTTGAATYATGATACATAATAAAGATCACAGAATAGTCACAAAATAAATTAACAAATCAAGCATAATAGAATGAGATGATCAAATTTTGTAACAATTCTGTATAAACCAGGAG